CTTTTGCAAAGATGATGCCACTAACCACCAGTACAGAATGTGTGCATGTTTATGGACAATGTGAAATTCAGTAGACTTGAAAGATGAATAGCTCTTGTTGTGAGTTGTGAACCCTGCAGGTATTGCATCCAAATAGCAGCCCTGAGTGAAAGAAGGCTGGCAGATGAAGGCCAGATTAGCAAAGTCAGAACTGGATACACATTTTTCTGGAGTGGCTCCGATGACAGGGAACACCATGAAGCTGGCATAGGTTTTGCAATCAAAACTAATCTAGTCAACCAACTGGTAAGCCTCCCAAAAGGTGTGAATGATTGACTCATGACAATTGAATTGCCACTTGCAGGAAAGCACCATGCCATCATCATCAGTGTGTATGCTCCACCATGATGAATCCTGGTGAGATCAAAGAAAAATTTTATGAAAACCTGGAGACCTTCATCATCAATGTGCTGGAAGAAGACAAGCTTATAATTCTGGGTGACTTTAATGCCAGAGTAGGCACAGACTATCAGACATGGCAGAAAATTTTTGGGAGGAATGGACTTGGAATCAGCATTAGCAACAGTCACTTACTATTGAAGGCTTATATGTCTCATGACCTTCTCATCACCAACACAGTCTTCTGTTTACCTAAACACAGTAAAACTTAATGGATGTCCCCTCATAGCAAACATTGGCATTTAATACACTGTCATTATAAGAAGAAGAGACAGATATGGGAGTGAAAAGGCAATGTGTGGCACAGAATGTTAGACTGATCATAGACTTATCTGCTCCAAACTAAACATGTTTGTCCCCAAGGTAAGATGACTACCAGAAGACAATGTCAAGAGTTAGAGTGCTTCTTCTTGCATGAACAGTTTGTTGCTAACTTGGTAGGAAAGCTGAGCCAACACATGGCTGTCAGCAGTAGAGCAGAAAAGGAGTGGGCAGCTTTCAGAGATCTGGTGTACAGCACTGCATTTATTTATCTGAATCAGAACAGTAGAAACTTCAAGATTGGTTTGATGAAAATAATGGGGAAATTCAGAAACTGCTAAACAAAAAACAAGAACTCAACAGGGTTTATCCCCAGGATAGTTACTCTATCTCTAAGAAGGCAACATTTAATTCCATCAAAAGTAAAGCACAAGTAAAATTTAGAGAAATGCAAGATTCTTGGCTTAGTAAGGAGGCAGGTGAAATTCAGTTTCATGCTGATAATAACAATCCAAAGCACTTTTATTATGCCCTGAAGGCTTTTTATGGGGCCAGAGACTTATGGTGCATCTCAATTACTCAGTGCTGATGGAGCCACATTGATTAGTGATAAGGACATGATCCTGGAGAGATGGGCTGAACACTTCCATAGTGTTCTCAACAGACCTTCATCAACCAATGCTGAATCCACTGACCACATACCTCAGGTTGAAGTTAGTCTCATTCTAGCCAAACTTCCAACTAAAGAAAAGGTTTTGAATACCATTCAGCAACTCTTGTGTGGCAAAGCATTTGTTGCTGATTCTATTCCAGCTGAGATTTACAAGGCAGTGATGTCTACTGCTCATACTGACTGAAATTTTCCAGGTTCTATGCAAGAGGAGGTTATCCCCGGGGAATTCAAAGATACCTTCATTGTCCATCTCTATAAAGGAAAAGGAAATAAATTGTCCTATGACAATCAGTGAGGGGTCTTTCTCTTAGTTAGTTAAGCTAACAGGATTCTTGCCAGAGTCCTCCTTAATAGACTTAAGATATAAGATATATCCATCTATTAAGATATAACACAATTGTACTCTGGTGGAAGCGCACATCAGTGTAATCATTGATCCTTAAAACAATGAAGAAATGTTAAATCTTAAATCATTGTGAGAACATATTTGAATATAACATAGGGCACTTCAAATAGTCAATCATAGTTGGCTGGTAAATCTTGAAACTGATCTAATTGACATAGGAGATAATAGGTTGTTAATCCAAACCCAGTTATACCTCTCCTTACTTTTGGTAATTTCACTGCTTTCAGGCAAATAAAAAATAGTTTTTCCTCTATGAAAGATGTTGAGTTGACTATCATAATGGTACCTCCTAGGGCCACCCTGTACTCTGCCACTTCCATTTTTTAGGTTCATAGAAGCTGTTTTATTGTGCTGGCCAGGTGTCAATGAGAGACACCGACAAAGGCCAGTTGGTAAATGATTAAGGGTTCTTACAAAGCTTTCACAGCTTCTCCAACAGTCCCAGAACACACAGAATCCTTAATGTACAACAGCTTGGCTGACATTCCCTTACTTTAAAAAAAATTATTTATTTTTAATTTTCAACATTCACTTCCGTAAGATTTTGAGTTTTAAATTTTCTCCCTCTTCTTCTCGTCCCTCCCCAAGACAGCGTGCAATCTGATACAGGCTCTACTTATACTTTCATATTAAGCATATTTTCCCATTAGTTATGATGTATGGAAGAATTAGAACTAATGGGAGGAACTACGAAAAAGAAGAAATAAAACACAGTAACAAAAGAAAAGGAGAGAAATAGCGTGCTTCTGTCTGCATTCAGACTCTATATTTCTTTCTCTGGATGTGGATAGCATTTTCCATCGTGAGTCTTTTGGAATTGTCTTAAATCCTTGCATTGCTGAATTGCACAGTGTGGCTGTTCATGTGTACAATGTTCTTCTGGTTCTGCTCATTTTACTCAGCATCAGTTCATATAAGTATTTCCAGGTTTTTCTGAAATCTGCCTGCTCATCATTTCTTGTAGTACAATAGTATTCCATTACATGCATCTACCACAACTTGTTCAACCATTCCCCAATTGATGGACATCTCCTCAATTTCCAATTCATTGGCATTCCCTTACTTTGCCATTGCTTCCCCTGACTCCCACCCCAAGCACAGTGTGTTGGGTTTTGAGAGGTTTGTTAATATTATGGTTATTGTTGTTATTATTAGCATTATTTTTACAAACTGGGATTGGGGCGGGGGACACAAAGTCCTAAAGCATAATCCCTTGTTAAGTTCCCTCTCTGGGTATTCTGTAGTAATGTTAATGGTTTGTCATTATTTAATTATTTATTAATTTAGATTTTCCTGGTAGACTTGCAAACATATGCTTCTAAATGTAGAATATGAAGGAAAACATTTTCAGATACAAAATTTCACGATTATGGTAAGTTCCAGGAAGGAGTGATTTTCAAAATTATTTTATAAATTTTATAATACTCCCTAAGGTGTGGATTATCTTTTTAATTTGCATATTGGTTTTGAGTTGTTTTAATTATAATTAAAGCAAATTAGAAACTTAAAGACATAAACCAATTGCTCTTTTTAACTTCATCTGAGAACCCAGAGAATAAGATTTTTACTATGACATCTCTATTACTGTACTAGTACTGTACTAGCATCCACCTTGTACCTCGGGGAAGAAACTGAAGGAAATGGGATTTTAAATTTCTAATCCAAGATAAAAATTGTTACACATTTTCTCCAGAAAAGATTCAGTGATGAAGCTACCTTGAATACCGCACCCTAAATTTCACAGTCTTTTGAACTGTGGTCTTCTTTTCAGAGCACAGAATAAATCTGACAGCATTTCAGAGGCATTCTAGAAATACAGAATGATAGAAAGTTAAAGCTGGAAGGGATTCCTGAAATAAAAGATGTATATAAGACAATAAGACTGAATCCAAAGAAGAAATCTTTAATCTACTACAGGGAACTCAGTAGTAATTGAGAAATCACATAATATAGCAGATCATTTACATTAGATTACATTTGTAGTGAAATGTAGAACAAAATGTGACTAAAATAATCAGAAAACTGAAGGCAAAAAAAATCATTAACATGTGACTCCACAGCAAGGAATTTGCAAAAAGGTGTGTAGTTTTTGACTTTTTATTTTTTTTGGCTAGGCAGTGGGATTAAGTGACTTGCCCAGGGTCACACAGCTAGTGAGTGTTATGCATCTGAGGCTGGATTTGAACTCGGGTCCTATTGAATCCAGGGCCGGTGCTCTATCCATTTTGCCACCCAGCTGCCCCAGTTTTCGACTTTTTAGAGGGGCTGCTTCACAAGATAATTACTAATGTTCTTTTAATTAAATATTTAATGCATCCTGTACTTGGTATATACCAAGGTTATGAACAGAAAATCATTAACAATAAAAGAAAATGATGGTGACTTGATTGCAAGGTTTAAGTACTTATGTTCTTCAAAAGAATTAGAGGGTAATCCTTGAGCTCAGTTTCTAGTGCCCTGTGAGACTGGCGTTTAATTCATCATAAGCATTGTTAGTTGTAAATTAAATCCTCTAGAAGCTTAGGAGTGTCGTCAATTTTCTCATTTTCCACCTTATGGTGCTTTATGACATACAAAGTTAAAATTAATTATTTAGACTTCTTGTTGGGGGGGGAGGGGAGACTTGGCAACTATCTAGGGCAGGAAGCCACCCCAACACATGTTATTACCCAAATGACAAAATCATCCTTGGTAATTACACCTGGGACACGGTAGGTACCAGGCTGCACCTCTCCCTTACTTCTCTGGACAAGGGACGGCCAAGTCAGTGGTATGGCTCTCACCCCGCCTGGCATATACTACCCAATGTGCCAACGAGTCCTTAGGGAGGGGACCTGGGGTTCCCGCACGTGAGGAGCTGTCTAAACTGGCCACGGGTTCTGTCTTCAGGCCAACCACGGGGCTGTGAATGAAGGCAGCAGCTTCTCCTAGGGCACCTAGGAGATCCTCCAGCAGGCGTCGCTGGCTCTCATCTGTTCCACACCTGGAGGTTTGAAACTGAGCGCAGGTGGGTGCTACCTGAGGATTCAGGGCTCGCCCTGCGCGGACATCACGGAGAGGGGGCGCTGCGTCCTGACTGTCCCCGCTCCGCCTCCCGGGCCCCAAGGAGGGCTCCAGCCGCTGTGGTGCACATGCTCGGCTCTGTCCACCTCCGCTAACCCCCTACCTGCGGCTCCCCGGAGGGAGAAGGGGGCGGGGTCAGTTCTGGAGCGGGGAGAGGCCGCGGAGCTGGAACCACCGCAGGTTCCTCCCCAGGAGCAGAAGGGCTGAGACTGCAGCGCCTGAGCCGCGGTAGGAGAAGCAGGGTACTGAGATGTCGGAGCAAGGAGGACAGCGGGACGTCAGCCCCACCAGGGCGCCTAAAAAACACACCACTTTTAACATCTGGCGGATCAAGAAGAAGCACCAGCACCCTGCGGACTATGCGGTCTTCGTTCCCCATCCTCCTCCTCCGGCCGTCTCGCAGGAACCTGGGACAACTGCCCCCAGGTAAGCCCCATCCTGCCCCGAGAGGCCCCTGCTCCCTTACTTTCTGACCCTGGATGGGTACCAGTCGCCCAACCACCCTACTGGCTTTGGAGGGTCCTTTTGTCTCTTGATTTATTCTTCTCGAGCCGCAGTGGCAAAATAGATGCGAAACACCTGGATTTTGAATGGCTCCTTCCACCGCGGGTGCTGAGCCGAAGGACCGGGAAGGAGAAAAGCTCTGGAGCGGTTTATTCTTGCTTTACAGTAATTTTCACAGCTTCCAGCAGTGAAGGGTGAACCAGTCCCTGCGCGTCGAACTTGTGTGTGTGTGTGTGTGTGTGTGCGCGCGCCCTCGCATCTTGTTCCCCATTGATGGTCTCGCTTCGTTTTGACTGCACAGGGAGAGGAATTTGATGGAATAGATTAAAATCTTGACCTGTCAAACAGCCCATAGAAAGAATAGTAAGTGAAGGGTCGGGCAGGTATAATTAATCATGCTAATAGCTACTGTACCTTGGAATTCTATAATACCTTAGATAATAGCACCTTTCTCCTGAAGAGCTCAAAACACATTTCCAGCTACTCTATCTCCTTTATCCTCACGAGATTCTAGTGAGGTGGTAGTGGCTGGGTTTATCATGCCCATTACATGGGTGGAGAAACTGAGGCACAGAGGGGCGAAGTAAGTTGTCCGAAGTTGTTTGGTTTATCAGTGGCAGAGCCAGCACTAAAAACCAGTTTGAGTTTTATTTTTGTGGTGATCCCATTCTCATGGACTGAACACCCACCCCTGGGTTCTCAATAGCATAGTTCATTTATATTTACAGTTCTGATGTATATGTTGAGCAAAAATAAATCTAACGTAGATTTGCTGTGTCTGTAAGAAGGAATCTGTAAGAAGGGACAATCAACAGTGTCCTTGTTGAGAGAGGAAATAAATCCTATTGCCACTATCCAAAAGAATACCACCAGACTCCTATGCTCCCTACTTCTCCCCTAGGAGTCTCAATGGGTTCCTTCAACCTTTAGAAAGCATCATATCTGACTGGAGAAAATGAAAACTGGGTTGTGTCACAGGGGTGACACAAGGTGAACTCTCAAATATGAGAGAAATGTTAATAGCCTAGGAAGGGGGAAACTACCTGAAAGAGTGTATATAATGGTTATAAACAAACTTAGCTGAAGAGCAAATTGTGTTTATGCAACGTTTGCATTTATACTTACAACTGTTTTCACATTTCTAGGAAGAATATATGAAACAATATAATGTTTTTTTCTTTCACAGTAGGAATCGATTGGGAGGGAGAATCTTTTCAGCTATCCAGAGGCTTATTGTGCATAATTATGGGCTGACATTTGTAATAAATTGCACTGTTTAATAATGATGTATAGTTCAGTAAGTGTTATATTTCTGTGAGTAGATGTTATGAAATTTTGAATATGATCACATCTTATACCAATTTGCCTGACATTAATAGTTTTCAAATTAATTTGCTGAAACATTTTATGTTTTGAATCTTTACTTCTTACCTTTTGGCCTTCAGCCTTCTCATGATTTTCAAACTATTTTATTTTTTTCCTCTGAACTATGATGAACTTTATGCAGAGTATTTCTGAAACTGAATTTATTGGTCTGTCTTACTGATGTTTTTCCAGTTAGATCATCTTTTTTTTTTTTACAGTAGACCTTTTTTTCTGCTAAGCTTACATATTTCTCTAAAGATATCTGCTAAGATACATTTAGCAGTAAATGGTCAGTGGTAGACAGTGTTCTTCCCTTGAGTTGCCTGGTTGTGTTTATTTACCTTGGACTAGCATTTTAGGACTGTAAAACCTTGGGAGAATATAAATCCACTCATTTGTGGTCTCTGCTTCCGTACTAGGAAAGTTAGGCAACCAGCAGCACTTATTTCTCTGTAGTAGCCTTGTATTACGTATGATGATTTTTTAAAAGGGAGGAGGAGGGACAAATGGAGAGAGAAAAGACATGTTCTGTACCATAGAGAAAGGTCACCATTTAATGATAATTTTAAAGTTCAAAAATGATTTGTTATATGAAGTAGCTCTTTGGGAGGGGTAGGGATACTGGAGGAAATTATAGTGATATAAAAAAATCAACAAAAATTCATTAAAAATTTTTCAAGTTAATTGAAATAAAAATTCTAAAGGGTTGAATCTGTCTCCAAAGTGGTAGGACTTGGCAGGGTATTTTTAAAGCCTGAAGTTGTTCTTTCTTTTATTTGATATGTGAATGAGAGAATGTAAGTTACTTGAGGGTAGGAATTGCCTTTTGTTGTTTTTATCTTGGTATCCAGAACACTATTTTTTTTTTTTTTTTTGGTGAAGCAGTTAGGGTTAAGTGACTCGCCCAGGGTCACACAGTTAGTAAGTGTTACGTGTCTAAGGCCAGATTTGAACTCAGGTCCTCCTGAATCCAGGGCCAGTGTTCTATCCACTGGACCACCTAGCTGCCCCTATCCAGAGCACTGTTAGGGAGGTAGCATGAGGTTGTGGATAGAGAGCTAGTTTCAGATTCAGGAAGACCCTAGTTTAAGACTTGCTTTTGTACATACTAGCTCTGTGATCCCTAGGCTCAACAATGAAGTGTACCAGGCAAGCCCTCTAAGGCTGGTTCTTAACTTTGTGTTATGAACCCCTGTGCCAGACTGGTGAATCCTAGAGACCTCAGAGTAATTCTTTTAAATGCATGAAATAAAGAGGATTATGAAGGAAGCCAATTATGTTGAAATATAGTTATCAAAATTTTTTTTAAAGTTCATGGAGCCCAGGTTAAGAACCCCTGTTTGAATGCTGTAAGTTTCAGAGCAGGTGCAGATCTGTATTGGTAGAGGGATTTTCCTGTACCAGTGAAATCACAGATGCTGTCCATCTGCACCACCTAGCGCAGTACCTGGTGTGTAGTTGGTACTTAATAAGCGCTTGTCAGATTGAATTGATGAAGGATCGATGCCCTCATCAGCTTGAGAACTGCCTTTACCAACAAAGATAGCAAATTAAGTGATTTGTTCCAGGTCAACCAGCTAATAAGTGGCAAACCTCAAGCCCAAACAGTGTTCCATCCGTGATCAGAGGCTGCCTCATTTCGTAAAGAGATTGAAACGCATCATCCCTTTTTCTGAAGTTCATCTCTCCAAAGTGTCTTTCAGAATGACTACATGGTACATATTGTTGTGCTGTTCTTCATAAGAACAGGGGCATCTCTGCACCAGGTCAAATTGAGCCGTTGCCAAGAGGTGGCCCCAAGGGATTTGCAGCAGGAGGGCATGTTTGTCCTTCCTACTGACAAGATCTCAGGTAACCTAGCTTCTTTTGCTAGCTGTTCACTGCTCTGTCATTCATAAATATGTCCAAACAAGCTCCCTTTGAAAATCCATAACTATTTTCTGCCTGGTATATTTACATATGGTTATCATATGAAATATAAAGGAAGAAACCTTTCCTTTGTCCCAGCCAAGGAAGTATACTTTCAAATATTAATTAGAAATAGATTCATAATCTAAAGGTTGATGATGCTGATTAAAATGATCATAATTAAACTGAATTAAGTCCAATAAAATTCTCCACATAAGGGAAGGATTCTCTTGAGTGGAAAAAGCTGAATTTACATGGTAAGCCTTATATGATCCTGAAAATCTGTAGACCTAGTTTCAATCAGGCTAAAAGTGGGACAGAGTTCCGGAGCATCTTCAATGGAATGGCAATCAAGATACGTTGGTTTAGATTTCAGCTTCACCTGGATTTTATCATAGCGACTGTGAGACACCATTCAGCTTTTCTGGTTCTCTATGGGCCTTTCTTAAGATAGTAGAAAAATAACATCCCCAATATACCTTATTAGGATGTTATGAGGAATAATGAATCATCTGTGCATTTTTTCTTTTTCCAGAAAAAGAAAATACATCAATTAAACTATTTATGGCTTGTCCAGACCTATAGGTCCACAGTAGGAAATTCCAATGAGTAAGCTCCATCTACTAATGAAGAAACAGTAATTTCTGCACTTTATAGTTTTAGAGACTATAACTTCTGTGGACACTGAGTAGTTAAGTGACTTGCCTAGGCTGGGTCTTCCTAACTCTGAGGCTCTCTTGAGGACACCATTTGGTTTAGTATCATAATACTTCCCAGTACTGATTTGTCCCACTTCACACTGTATCATCTAGCCCCAACCCCACCCCCCTTTTGTTTTTTTGCTTGGTGCTCAGAAATTGGACAGCTAAGTGGCAAAGTGAATAGAGCACTGGGCTTGGAATCAGGAAGATTCGTGAGTTCAAATCTAGCCTGAGACACTAACTAGCTGTATGGCCCTGGGCAAGTCACTTAACCCTGTTTGCCTCAGTTCCTCATCTGTAAAATGAGCTAGAGAAGGAAATGACAAACCACTCCAGTATCTTTGCCAAGAAAACCCTAAATGGGGTCACAGGGAGTCAGACACAACTGAAACAACTTAACAACGAGCTCAGAAATTGTATTGAATGAATCATGTTCTCATTTGGCGTAGAGTTTATTTTTATATTTGTTTTATTTAAACTCCCTTTCAATCTAGTAAATACAGAATTGTTTGCTATGTATAAATTACATAGTAATCAAAATTTGATTAACTTTTGCTTATTTTGGTTTTTGTAAAGAGTTGGTAATGAATAAACATCTTTTTAATCCTAGTGAAAGACACAGAGGACTTCAGAAGGCCAGAAACAAGCTGTAACCTGAATTGGTTCCAACTTCAGTATCTTGAAGTTAATGTTAGGCTGTGAAAGAAAGGGCTGTCCTTAGGCATTCAGTGACATAAAAGTATTACATAGATTGCCTATGGAATAAAACACAGACTTAATCATTGAAGTTCCAAGAGCTTACCTACTCAGGTGTTTAGGTGGAGATTTAAAATTATGGGAGAATCTTTTTTTTTTGTTACCTGTGCTTTAAATATCTTCATATACTTGTTAAATCATTAAGCTACTTGGTTCCTACCTAGCTGTTTTTGATGAATTACCCCAGGACTG